CTCTCTCTCTCTCTCTCTCTCTATATATATATATATATATATATATATATTCTACTATATATATATTCTCTCTCTCTATATATATATTCTACTATATATATATATATATTCTACTAATCTACAACATATATTGTAGATTAGATCATAACTTTTTCAGTTACGTTATGATTTTTATCTTACCTTAATATCATCAGCGATACGAATCCAATCGTCCATTGTCATGTTACTAGAATCATTGAGCGGCGAGTACTCCAACACGTTATAAATAACGCGTCTACTGTCCGTCGCGGTCATGCTTTGAAGAAGAAATCAAATGGAAAGAAAGTGTGTGTTAGGTGTTTGCCAGGCACTGCTTACGAATTTATGAAGATAATTAATTGCCCGCAGCTCGATCATGCTACACTTACGGAAGTACTAACGGCCCCATCAATCCAAATCGTGCTTCCGTGTATTCTTGGTCGTACATGTGCGGATAATTTCGTAGCTTTTTCACGAAAGCGTACGCTTTAGGTACGAGGGCTACAACAACACAACAAAAAAACGTGCATCATGTGTTTACAGTTTCAATCGGATCCAATTCGATGTTCCAGTAGAAAGAGAAGCGCATTACCTCCGTTTTCATTTCTAATCATTCCGATGGTACCGCCAGTATAAAGAACGAGCACACGACTTTCACGGACACTTTCAGTGATCAAAGAACCAGAACTATTGTTCCTCAGGTGCTCCATGTTTTTCTCTTTGTGATTATCAACGTGACTCGCCAGGTGCAACATATTTGAAATTGACTGTGACATGAGCGGTGCCCGCGTGCCGCAATGAAAAACGCTATCGCTGCGAAGTCTCTATGGAGAATGATTTGTTTATACAATTCTTACGGATTATATGTGACTAGTGAATCGAGATTTCCACGCGCGCACTCAACCAATCAACGTGATTTACGAAGATCGAGGCAGATGCCACTGCGGATCAATTAATTCAAAATAAACATATACGTGTCCCACATGTTTTATACTACGTTCCAAACAGAGGAGAAACATTTAATCTACTAAGTGAACATGACAGTATTCGTATTAAAAAGTGAATTACATCGTCAACTATTATCTATAGTCTAAGTAACGTTTATTAAATCTGTAATTTAATACGCGCGTTTATTGACCTTAGATAACACTAGCCAATAGTGATTTTTATCGTTGTTTTATCACGCTGATTTTCATACGTTTTTCGACGTCGGATGCGCAAATCCAAGTTTTCCACCGTCGCCCTCAGTTTCTTGAGGAAAGTCGATTTTGAAAGAAAAAAAAAAAAAAAAAGAATTCAAATTTTCAGCTTCGAACATTTTTTTTTTTCGCGGGGATACAATTTTGCAAATAATACAATACTCGATGATACGTAATCTTAAAAAAAACCTTGTATCCACATTTGTGCTTCTTGACAATCTCCTCGGATTTTAAGTCTCGGATTTAACGTTCTAAAACGGTACGGTGCTTGTAAATACTTAAAAATACTGGCTGTTTAAAATCGTCAATGGTTAAGAAATGGAATACCTCGGGTTCCATTAGCCGGTTGAAACGTTCCTTAATTACATCGTACGTAACCAGAATTAAAGATCCGCAAAGGGCGCTTATTAAATTAGCAGACATGCCTCTGTAAAAGCCAACTGGGCCATCTTTTCCTATGATGGTACCGATCTGGCAAAATATCGAGTCGTCGAGTGAACTCGTTAGGAATGAAGCTATGGGAAAAGGTTCTCCGATTAACTTAGAACTCTTTACAGACCACTTGACGCGTCGGCACGTAATTTCTCGCTTCACGTCCGCTCCAAAGCATTTTTTGTCTGGATATCGTGTCCAAGGGATAGGATACAATTAACGCGAGATAAGATGCTAGCTGAGCTATAGTCAGCGATATTAAAAACGGCGCGCTCGCCGTTCGAGAATCTGTTGCATAATTGTTCAAATATCCTCGTTTACCAACTACATATGCACCGAAGTAAATGGACCTGCAAAGTTTTTCATTCTAAGTTGCTCCGCGTTATTATGTAAAAAAAAAATAATTCCATTGTCGAGATACTTTATATTTCAATTTGTAAGTTCATCCGATATTTTCGAATGACTGATGAAATTATGAATTTTACTTTGAAACCTGTACAAAGATAGGCCGCACATCGAGAGGGTCAGCCCTTGATAAAATCCTTTGTAGCCGTCGCTTTTGTAAATTTTACTTATGCAGTCGTTCAGCCCGTAAAATTCTCTCTTAATTATCTTGTTATCGCCGACATCTACAGTTATCCGAGTGTTGCAGAAATGAAGGGGGTAAAGAATTGTACAAGATGTGCAGCCGACGGCACCGCCGGACAAGAATGGTACGACGATGTGACTGCAACTCGTCCTCGGTCCAATCATCTACGCAACACTGTACGATGTTTACGCGCGTAAATTTGAGAGAGAGATATGCATTAAAAATGGTATAATCCCACTGATAATCTGTCGGACGAACTTTTTCAAAGATTTCGTAGTACAAATTGTAAAAGGAAAAGTTAATCGCTTGGGCTGGAAAGTATCGACAAATATTGAGAAGATTCCCGCGCCACAAAGACACGAACCCCTGCTCCTTCGGTATTCTAACGAGTGCGTTTAAAATGCCAGAGTATGCGGATCGTTTCGTGTGCCCTATTTGATGGCTACTCGCCTGTGTCTGTAAAATCAATTTAACCCTTTCCACCGGTGCGGTCATAGTTCTAAATATGACTGCCAAGATCCCGGAAATGATGAAGGAAGCACCGAAGTCAACGGCGACGTGTAACCGAGTGTTCAATCCGAGTAACTTAACGTCGATCGCAGAATCACATTGCCATATATATTTTGCGTTTTGATCCTCCATTGACGCTGTCTTTCAATAAAAACACACGTTTACCTATCTTTTTTTAATCTTCTAAGATCACATATAATATCCGTTTGCTCGTCAGACGAAACAAAGTATCCAAATATATATTAGACTAACTTCGTTCTATCAAGTTTCAATCTTTCAACCGTGGATTAATCCATGAACCAATAACGAACAATGCAGCTCCAATGAACGGCCAATCATTTTGCAAAATTACTGTTTTATCGTAAATCGAATGTAACTGTAATGCACGTGCTTGATAAGACATGGTTGGCCACGTTCAATATGGCTGGAAGTGATATAAAAGAGAGACTCGAAGTTTATAGACGACGCAGACAAAGAGAGGAAATGACAGAATCTATAAAAAATGCGATAAAAACTATCTTACCGTGGAATAGAATTAAATCAGCTGAAGATTCTTCAGTGGCAGCACCGTTGATATCCGATATTAAGGTAAGGTTATGTTATGCATGACGTGAAGATAATTGAACGTTACTAGTTATGTAGACGCGCTTTTATGCAATGTATCGTACAAACATCATTAATATTGATAATGCTCAATAAATGCATTTATATAAATAATGGAAATAATACTTATTGTACAATTTATACAATAAATAGATATAGAATGATTAAGAATAAGAAGCTTGCAGGATAACCAGGATGTGGAAAGTACCTGTTCAGATGATAGTGTAGAGCAATCACAATATACAGTATTAAAGATAATAACATATTTACTGTATTTTCTTTTATGGGGTACCTTATATATAATTGCAATTGAATACGAATTTGGAGCAGTGTATTTTATTCTATCTACGTTAATATTTATTTGCTTAAATACTCGATCTAGACCAAAAAGGTCAGGTGAACTGAGTGCTTACTCTGTATTTAATCCAAACTGCAAAGCCATCGAAGGAACACTTGATGCTTCACAATTTGAGAGAGAAATAAGATATGGCATGGGAAATGTACATTAATTTAAATGGTAGAACATTTAAATCGATCTAATTTATCACAGGCAAAAATAATACATACTTTGTACTTGTTTGTGTATAAATGTTTGTGTCTGTGTAATTTATAAAGATATGCAAATCAAAAATAGGAACTCTAAAATAAAAAATTAAGCTAAGTATTTGGTAAAAGTGTAAAAAAACATCAATAATAATTATTGAATATTATTACCACAGTCATTTCAAAAGACAGTTTTATGTCTAAAATTTTGTACTTTTATATTTTCTCTATCGATATTGTATAGTTAAAAGTTGTATAGCACTTTCATAACACTTTACCACTTCATTAACATATATTATAATTTTGTTGAAAGGCTCTTGACTCAATTTAGAAAATTTTGTCCAATCAGTTCTGGATTGATTCTGCTCATTAGGACATAAGAGAATTCTATCCAATTCCATCAGCAAATCATTTAGTATTCTTGTGTCAATGGTACTGTAACAGAAAAAAAATATTCTTTATATTTCTGAAATGTTTTAGTATGTATAAAAATTGTGTGTAATATGACTTGTAAAAATTACATACTTGATGTTATCAATTGTATCAATTTTTTTATTAAAAACTTTAACACTAGTTAACAGTTTATCCACGGTTTGTTGCATTTTTTCTAAAAAAAAAAAAGAAAAGGGTTCAATCTGGTAGAAATCAAAGTATTATTGTATTTCATACCTTTAACTTCCAATAATTCAGTATTGTTTATAGATTTTAATGCTTCAGAAACAGCCTTATTAAAATAACTTGGATTCCATTTTATTATTAAACATTCAGAAAATCTCCAAATAGTTTGACCAACTATTTGTGCTGAAACTATTTTATGCATTTCCCTTTCATGATGATTTACATTGTATGTGATATTATTGTCCTATAAAATAGACACGTGGAAAAGATATACAATGAGTATTGTCTTTTATATAAACATTTATAATTATTGTTTACCGTAAAAGACAATACTGCATGAGGTACGTCTAAAGTTAGCCGGGAAGTTGCAACGTTATAAGATATGTCGTTTAAGAACAATAACTGACTATTGTAAGAGAACCAATTTTTTACAATGCTAGCAGATTCTAAAACCATGGATTGTATAATGTCTGATCCAGATACAATAAAGTGGCCTTTACCTGCAATTAATTGAAACCTGTGTTTGTATAATTGATCACCTTTATTAATTTTTCTGTAACAACGAACCTTGTAAAACTTGGTGATGTACTACAATATAAGCCACAATTTTATGAGGCATAAAGTTGGACAATATTTTTGGACAAGAATTCGAAGATCCCGAGAATAAACAAAAGATAATGGATCTACGAGGGTTCCATCTGTATTCTCCTTGAATTTGATTGAAAATTTTTGCCAATTCTAAAGCGACACCGACACCTTCACCATTAGTCGATAAAACTACGTACCTATCTGAACATTTAACGGTAAGTAAAATGTGTCACACATTGATGTATGAAAGACAACGTAAAAATCGAGAAATAACTTACCAGATTCTCTGGACCCTCTCGCGGTTGCCACGATGCACGACTGATGTTCGACAACTTTTTCGATAAGTGATAAATTCGATAGAATCTTAGTCACTTGACGCGTGTCGTCTTCTTTTAAATTGAAATAGTCCCATTTCCTATTTTACAAATGTTACAAAATAATGCAGGTTAAAAGAGAGTTAAAAGATCAAGAGCAAAGGATGAACGTACATTTCGAAAACAGGATCAAGGGGCGCCCTTTCCAACTGTTCAAGCATCACATGTTGCAGATACTCAGTGTTTTCTAAACCATTGCCCGCTAACTCTAGGCGTTTCTTCTCTGCGCGAAACTCTATAGCTCTTTGCGTGGCGAAACGACCGAGTAAAAATCCACCCAACAGGGAGAGGAAACCGACGGAGAATATTAACGAAAAGCACATACGTTTTGTCACAAACTCGCTAGACTCGCTAAGCCCACGAGCCATTTGAAAGCTAAGAACCCGCTGCATATTGACTATCCTGGATACACTTTTAAATAATTTAACAACCAGGAACAGTCATAGTTTGTAACAGTTTCTCTTTTAACACTATTTCCAAGGGAATACTACAAGACAAGAACCATCAGACAATAAAAGAGACTGTTAAGAATACCATTGATATGCAAGTTCATTCAGAATTTATCAAATGAAAAAAGAATTAAAACACTGCAACGAAATAATTGTTACTGACTAAAATAATACATAAATGCCAACAGTTTCAGAGAGTGAAGTACATTCAGTGATAAAGCATTGAAAATGTTACTCTTCAATCGAAGTCAAAGTGTTCACACAATGCAAAATTCTCATGACTGGTCTCGCGTTGTCTCCGGCAGACCACTTGCTTTAACACTGCGTGGGATAAGACTGATATATTTGTCAGTCCGTCTCGTCGGCTTTCCACCTCTCTGCCAGCGCTTCGATTATTATATCCCCAATAGACATGTGCGAATGAAATTGAAAGCAAAAACTCACAAGTTAACAATCATACGGTATTATGCATGTTTATATATTTATATTGATGAAAGAAAAACATTCTTAATGTAACAAAAAACCCAATTAAAAAAGTATAAATAGCTGAAAATGTAAAAGTATAAATTTTATATATTTATATTGATGAAAGAAAAACATTCTTAAAAACATTCTTAAAAAACATTCTTAATGTAACAAAAAATCCAATTAAAAAAGTATAAATAGCTTTACGAATATGAACACTTTTGATCATTTAAATTAATTGTTAATATTGATGTTAAGTACTGTAATGTTTAATCGAAATGCATATCTAATATTAATACTTAAATAGGAAATTTTTCCTCAAAATGTTTCAGAATATATATATATGTGTGTGTGTGTGTGTGTGTGTGTATTAGAATTATTAAAGTAAGATAAATTGGATAAATGATATTTATAAATATAACACCATGTTTCACGATGTTTGCGTGGAGCAACTTATTTCGGGCAAATAATGATGACGGTGTTTCGCTTATAAATAGTTTTCGATGTATTACGTGTACGTGCAAGGTTGTTTTAACTATAGATGTGCTGTTTCAAACTTAAATTACATAGAAGAATATTTACGCAGATATTATGTTCCTCTATTCAAGCGATTTACATACTATTTTAACTTTTATGCGTTAATTTTAGATTTTTATTAAAGATGACATACTTTTTAATATGCAACTTTAGGACCCAATTATTTTTTCCCATAAAAGACAACTATAATTTATTGTCAAATATATATTTTATATTATTTTTTTTCATTATTTCAATTCGATTTAAGAAAGAAAAAAAAAATTTTCATTATTTCAATTCGATTTACATTTTATTAGAGACAAAGGGATAAAAAGGATAATTTATTTTTTACATGTATATGTATATGTTTCCTGAGATATTCTTTATAAAAATTGTCTTAATTAAATTTACAGTAGCTATATTTATTTATTTTGCTTATGTATAATATTGTACATGATACACTCGTATATACAATCTGAACTCATATCACAGCAACTGAACATTTGACATTGATTATTTTACAATAATGCTACATAATTAAATATGTAGTAATGTTACATTAAACAGTAAAAAGATTCTGTTTGCTTACATTGTTTTCTTTTCATTCGAATTAATCTTTTGTTTCACATAAATGAATTTAATATGAGATGCAACAAAGGTATACAGATATTTCATATAATTATATATACGTAATTATATTTTTCTTCAATTTCCGATGTATGATATTTTAAATTCATATCTAAAACCAATGTACACGCAAACAAAATAAAGCCACACATACGCATATCTGACTGTACATTTTATTTCGTAATATGCGTGGAAAATTTTCACAAGGCATGATTCTTTTCTCAACATGCTGCGCCTCAATTACTACTTCCCAATAATTCTGCTAATAACCACGAAGATGCTTCCTTGTGCTGTTGTTTTATATGATTTCTTAGGTATCTCCTTTGACCGAATTTCATTCCACATTTACAATCGAAAGGCTTCTCCTCGTTATGTATCGCACGGTGTCGCACGACTTCTCCTTTGACGGAGAACGTTTTACCACAGATTTCACAGGCAAAAGCTTTGATACCTGTATGCGTAGTTTCATGATCAGTCAGCCGCTGCCTGCTTCTGAAATATTTCCCGCAGTACGTACATTTGTGAGGTTTATAATCCGTATGTACACGATTGTGAATGTAAATAGAATTCAGTGTCCGAAACATTTTTGGACAGTGTTCGCACGCGTACGGACGTTCACCGGTGTGAATTCTCCGATGATCATCTTTTGCTCCTTTGTTTGCAAATGCTCGGCCACAGATGTCGCAGGCGTACTTCTTTAATCCTTCGTGAACGTCTCGTAGGTGTCTGGCTAAATCTTGCTCGATGCGGTACGATTTCCCGCATAGATCACACTTGCACGGTCGTTTGTTATTATGCACACGAATGTGTCGTAGAAAGCCCCGTTTCGTGAATATAATCTTTTTACACGTACCACACATGTACGAGATACGGTCATTGATTATTTGCTTCGCCTTGTCTACAAGATCCGTCTCGTTTGGATTCTCGTTTGGATTCTTGATTGGATTGACATCGGAGTGTCTGTTTATGTGGTTCTTCAGTTCGAACTTCTTTGTGAAATTTGTCTCGCACAAGTTGCAAGTGTAACACAGAGGCTTCTTAATCTGCCGATTAAGTGGTGATCTTTTCTTATCATCTTTATCCTCTTTTCTCACCTCGTTCGCGCGTTCCAGACTTTCGTCTCCGGTGGTGTCCTTTACTTTGTAATTACTATTATGCATCGATATGTGATCTTCAAAATCCTTATCTTGGCCATGATACACCAGTTTGCAATCCTGACAGTAGTGCATTTGTGCTTCGTGCTCGTTGTTTATGTGATCAATGAAGTATTTCATATTCACGAAGACAACGTCGCATTGAGCACATTGGATGTACTCTACCTCCTCAACGTTTGCACTTTCGTTTTCGACCGTCGATATTTGCATAATGGTGTCAGACTCGACCTTCCACCTGCAAAATAAACATATCCGATATCATGTCATCGCCAGTGTGAGGTTTCCCGGAAATTCTTGCTGCGACTCTTCAAAGTAACCTTCTTAACATAAATACATTTGATTGTTACGAATATGTTTATAACGACTAACACAGTCTTTAGTTAAGGAATTACTTGCCACGAATGGAAATATTCTTATCTAATTCTTGTTTCTCTCTTAAAGCTTTGATAAGGAGCATTTATACGAGAATGATTTGTGAACGTGCAGAGATGCCTTCTGTTTCAATGACTTTTATATATATATATATATATATATATATATATATATGTATATATAAAACTGTGTGAATTCTTCTGTGCTTATCTCTTACGAAGCTCTGGAGGACAAACATCAGTCGCATACATTACAAACGAGATACTTTAATCACGTGTCTATTTCAAGCCAAATGATTGTGCCGAATGAAAAGCTTTTGCTGCGCAATCGTGACACGTGTGTAATTTTTTTATCAATATAAATATGTCAATGAATTATACGTGAATGGAGGTACTTGTGCTCACACACATGCTCTTTACATTTTTTTCACAAGTAATTTCCAAGTTGCTTTCTTAATTGCTTTCGGCAAATGTTAGAATCGGATTTCGACGATTTCGTTAGATCGGATTTTCCTCCATTGCTTCACGGTAGCCGCGAGCCGTGATTGACTTTCCTGTGATTAACTAAATATCGTTTCTGTCGGAACGAGAGGTTGCACTCGGTGCACTGCCATGGCTTGTTGTCGAAATGAATCAAACGATGACGTTTCAGCTCGTATTTTATACGGAAACGTCGGCTGCATATGTCGCAGGCGTGCGGCTTCTCGCCGGTGTGTTTCTTGATGTGCAACGCGAGCGACGGTCTCGTTCGAAAGTTCTGATCGCAGTGATTACATTTAAAGGGGAACACGTCCGAGTGAGTGCGATTGTGCACGAACAGAGAGGCCTTTTGCTTGAACGACTTGCCGCAAATATTGCAGACGTATGGCCGTTCACCGGTGTGGATACGTTTATGATCTTCCGCGCTTCGTCTCGTCGAGAACATTCGGCCGCAAATGTCACATGGGAAGTTCTTTATGCCCGCATGCGTGCCACGCAAGTGTCTCGTCAGTCCTTGATTTATGCGGAACTGTTTGCCACAGAGATGGCAAGTGTACGATCGTTCACCGGTGTGTATGCGCACGTGCCAAAAGAACGTGTAAGGCGAATAGAGATTTTTCCCACATTCGTTGCAGTGATAGTAGATCTTCCCGTCCACTTCCATTTTAGCGCGCATCACCATTTCTCTGTCGGCGCACTTCAACTTTTTACCCTTGTTTCTGGTATGTTTCTCCGCGTGCGATTCCAACAAATGTAATTCCAGCAGTTTCTTCTCTCTCACCGTGTAATCGCAGTACATACACGCATGTGTTCCAAGTCTGTTTTCCTTACATCTGTTTTGAAACAATTTCAAAGCCTCTCGATTTTCGTCCGTTTTATTTCTATCCTCTGTATCGTTTATTAGTATGCTGCATTCAGTCGTGGAGTTTTCAGTCGTGGTGCTTTTACATTTGGATACATGTTGCGTCAAGTGGCGTTTCCTGTCGAAGATTCGACAACAGTGTTTGCACGTGTATTGACTTTTCAATGAGGCGGCAATTTCATTTAAAGGAGGCAGCATCACTTTCACCATTTCTCTCACATCTAAATCTGCATTGTACAAGCTATCGAACGAATTATCCTCATTGTCGCTAATTCGCTTTTTTCTACTTTCTTTCAAGCTCGTCTCATTGTCGAATGTTTTTTGCTGCCACGAGCAATATGTCGCGAAGGATCTCTTCCGAGGTGGACCAAACCTGGAAAAATAATAAGTGTGCCAGATTTGAATGCTTTCTGTTTATTCGAAGAATTTTGTCTGCAATAATAGAGCAGCAAAATTATATAGAACGGCATATTAGCATCCTCGTAAAGTTTCAACGTGTCTGCTTTTAATATGATTATTCAAGTAACGTTTCTGTCGAAAGGCGAGTCCACATTCAACACAAACGAAGGGTTTAGTTTCCGAGTGAATCAGCTTATGCCTAACGAGCTCCGATTTCACTCGAAATCTTTTCGAACACACGTCGCAACCGTAATTTTTCTCTCCTGTGTGAGTGGTCACGTGAGCCAACATCTCCTGCCTTCTACGAAATTTTTTATTACAATAGGAGCAAGGATGCGGAAACTCGTCCGTGTGTAATTTACTGTGAATGTACAAGGAAGCTTTTGATTTAAACGTCTTTCCGCACGAATCACATACATAGGGTCTTTCGCCGGTGTGAGTTCGACGATGATCCTCCCTCGTAGCTTTCGACGCGAAAGATTTACTGCATATGTCGCACGTGAAGTTTTTCAGTTTTGCGTGCACGTCCTTCAAATGTCTAGAAAGACCACCAGAGTCCCTAAATTGTTTTCCACACACGTGACAAGTAAACGGCCTTTCATCCGTATGTATCCTCATGTGTCTGAGAAAGGAGTCCTTTAACTTGAAACATTTTCCACATTCGACGCATTGGTAAGACTCTTGAACATCAACGTTAACTTTGCTCTTCATATGTTCACAAAGGTCGCCCGAGCCTTTTGAATTGTTGGAACAAGTTTTACATTTTCCTCTCACTTTTTTATTCCCATTTTTTGTATTTGGACAATCTGTTGGCTTCCCATCGTCCAATTTTAATTTTTCAACATTGTCTGAATTATACATTTGAGGAACCTCTTCCTTTATAGTGATATTGTCTGAATTGTACATTTGAGGAATCTCTTCCTTTATGGTAATATCATCGTCTTGCAGTTGATCAGACATTATAGCAGGCTGATCAAGCGTCGAATTCATGACGGTAATCCACACTGATTCGCAATCTCCATTGTCTGTAGGCTTTCTTTCTTGGAGCTGGCACTTTTTTCTGTGTGGCTTCCGAAAGACATTCTGCATATCTAGGAACATCTTAAATGGTGTTCGCATACTACTGGACCTGCAAAACAGTCAACACTTGACTCCGAATTTGCAGCTATACGACGTAGGAGATTGTTCTTGTTCAATCCAATTATCAACGGCACTTGAAATAGTTAACATTATTTTTCTTGACAATCCTTAATCTCATAGTCATACATCATTGTTTCAGGACGTTTGTATAGATCACTTGCAATAGCCTTTGTGCACAACTATATGTAAATGTTTTGATTTAAAGAAATCACAGTAATCCTTGTTCCATACTCCAAATTGAAATAGTCAATACACAAAGTATTCTTTAACAGTATTTGTTTCATTTGCACTAAAAATTTTTTTTTTTATCCATTCTGTGCTCGTTATTAAAAGCGATTTTATGAAAATTTTAACTACTAAGTTTAATGTTATTCATATTGGGCATATTTCCTGCACGTTCAATTACACATGTTTATAGCTCCAATTTGTCTATAATTTTTCTATAATTTTCTTTTTTTTTTTTAAATAAAAAAAAATCATTACCTGTCAGAATCATTAATAGTTGAATTCCCAGAGACTTCATCCTTTTCAACAGTTTCTTGCTGTTGATGCTGTAATTAAGAGAACCACTTAAAATATATTGATAAAAACACATTGACAACGCATCGATAAAATTATTTCTACTATTTTTACATTTACAAGTGATTCTGTTATATTAGATGTAGATGTGTCCTGCGTAGAAGTTTCTAATCCTTCCGAACCCTGGAAAATTGATACAGATTTAATAAAGATTTTCTTTTGGAATAATTAAGTAACTTTTTTTATGAATAACTTTCTTATCTTTATGCATACCTGCTTTTCTTGCAAAGCATCTTGCATCTCCAATAATCTTCTTTCTGCATTCAAGCATCCTTCTGATAGTTCATGCCAAGCTAATAATGTAGCAGCACAGTGATAACATAATTGCAATGGGAGTGTATCATTTTCAGTTACCTGTGAAATGTAATTTATATGATATTACATACACACGCATAAAAGTGATACACGATAAGAAAATAAATGCGTACACATATTGGTAGATATTTATGTATTTTATCACATAAGTCATGTTGTAAACCTTCTCCATCGAATATTGGAATTAAATGGTCATTAACATTAGCACATATTCTACATAAATTGGACCATGAAAATTGATCGCCAGACTGTGTTACTGTTGATTCTTCGTTTGATACTTCTATCATATTTTGTTGTTCACCCTGAACATCTGTTACAACAATAAATCCTTTTTCCTCACTTTCTAATTCAGCACGTGTATTCTCGTTCACCATATCTTTTACTGTTTGAATTAAAATGGAATGTTCCCCGCATGATTCCAACATGACAGAACTTTCAGATTCCATTGCACCTAGTATGTTAAATCAAGCCTTCTTAATGATGCAATATTGATTTTATTAAGATACTGTAAAAAGATGTACTTACAAAAAAAAAAAAATACTTTTATAAAAATATAAATGCAATTTATTCCCTTTACACTTTACATGTACAGATCAACGTGAGACAATAATTATAAGCTAAACTTTGCTCGGTGTTAGAATTTCATTTTCTTTGAAATATCATGAACACTATACCGTTTATTACATTTAACATGTTATTCTTTAAAAATTCAAATCATTGTTCTTTTGTTATTAATTACTCAGGCAGACAACAAATTCATTCAACTCCTTTAATTACTGATAGCATCGTCGTCATGTTTACAAATTTTCCTCTTTATGTGTCATTTTCGTGCCGAGCAATTTCGTTACACAATCAAAGAAAAAGCAGAGGAAAAAGTATCGTTACGTGTGATCGTTCGTCTACTAAACTTTAGTTTAATTAAATTTTACTTTCTAATCCTAGTAATTTGCCAAAAATTCACGTAATTTTCCCCGACATGATAGTACGAACAAGTTTTTATGGACAAATCGATGGAAAGTGTCGTTCCATCATAATGACTATTTTAATTTCTAAGAAAAATATAGGGAATTAATTTCTAGGGAGAAATATATGATTTTTATTGCCATCTAGCGGCGAACTTGCCGAACTAAGAAGAGCGTTTTGGTACAAGTTCAAATTTCTATATAAATTTCTGTTCTTATCTATATAAATTATCTATATAAATTAAGGTACATTTAAAAACATGAATGCGTATCCTGATTCATTGCGTTTTATTTCGAATACTTGAATTTGAAGATAATTTTACAATGCGAAAATATGTATGTTTATAGGTACATACAATCGATCGATGCTTTTTTGGTATTCTTTAAATATTTAGGACCTAAGAAGGCTGCACAATACTCGGTCATATAACAATCAACGTAACAATAAATTTTCAACAATGATAAATTTGTTTAACTGCAGTTTCTTTTTGTATTCGATATTTCTTTCTCTTTTTTTTTTCTTCTTTACCGATGTTTCGATATTGTTATATTTCCGAGTAACGATCATATCTTCTATACTCGATGATTATAATAAAATAGTTGTACATAGCGATTATTTTCTTACAATATTTTATTTATAGTAAATGCAGTAAGCTGACTAGTAAATTTTTACAAATCACAGGTAGGAAGGGGGTGTTGCATATGCAACACAGAGGTATGTAATAACAATTTCTTTTTTATATACATCCGCTAATTTCACCGTCCCCGACGATTTTTACTATTGCGTTTCAAATTCATCTTTGCGATTAAAGTAATTACAGCACTAAAACAAGTACAAGTAATTACGTTTTCGAACGATTTCAACAAACTTACTGCATAAGATTCCAAAAACAAGCTTCATTGATTGGTAAGAAGATAAGAAAAAAATTTCCATTGGACATTGTACGCATGAATTGATATCTCTATGTCATCTTCAAAAACTTTTCAATCGTAATAAACATTTCGCATACACGAATACAGAAAGCATTTGACATAACAGATTGTGAACATTTACAAATACAAGAACGATACGTTAATTATACGTTAATTATTCGCATTATATTAAAAAAGCTCCCTAACATTTCGTGCCTTCCTTCGATTCGTGTAAATTTAACTGCGACAACACTCCTCTCTTGGTAAAATTGTACATTTATTGCTAGCCGTTTTATGAAAGCAGGAAACGTTTAAAACATATACGAACGTCGTAAAATTATATTTTCAAATTTCTTCGTTAGAACAATCACAATTAATAATAATAATAATCTTAATAATAATCTTAATTGAAGTGAAACTGTTGTGCACTTTTTTACTTTACACGTCACAACGTCGAATATGTTTCGAATATATAAAGCATTGTCTATTTAAATGAAACTAGTCACAATATAAAAAAAAATATATTACAATTATAAAGAAAAGATATGTTTACAAAATAATGGCAGTATGTACCACTTCGCGTGTGATAATCTTGATTATCTTAAATCTCGACGACATCGATATTTCATATATTTAAGGATGGACGCAAACAGCGAATGTTGAACTTAATATGCTTGAGTATTATTTTGCGAAACATATCATGACATAAGATGCAAATATAAATTTTGGCAATGGAATATAATAAACGTTGTGTATATGAAAAAGATGATATTGTATGAACTAGAAAATAATATTTCGTCGATTTACATAAACATATATTATATATATATATATATTAATTGCTTCAATATTAATTATGGATATCTACATGAAATAATACTTCCAAACTTATGCGAACAAGACGTATTGTACGTATAAATAAAAAAGATGCATTTAGAAGCACATTTTTAAGCCTACTCGTTGTAGTTCCTCTTTTAGGTGATACTGACGCTTAACCGATTATAACATATCAAGCTATCAATGCAATTATACAATAACAATATTCTCTGTGCTATGACGAACATCGTATAGCTTTCTTTGTGCTTAGCAGGGGGTAATATTAAGACTTTGGTCTCATATATGAGATCAACCCAGTGCGATAATAACGTGTTGTACATTATGTTGAATGCCATTGAGTTAAAGATCAACTGATACTTATGTCGTCATATGCGATTGTATCACAGCAAATGAGTTGAATACATGTGTACCAATATTTCGTGTTTGTCGATCGGATAACGCAAATGGACAAATACAATGTTTCCCTTCTCTTTCTTTTCGCGTGCAATATTGTAAAGCTTGTAAAATGCGAATGGTATTACATTCCTTGGAAGAATAAGCTGTAAACATTTGTATTAAATACTGACGGCATTGTATGGATGGATAAGACCTGTATGTATTTCTAATCTAACTGGATTGGTACCTGCCAATCGTGCTCGACAAACATTTCCCATTTTCTATTTAGCAACCATATCGTGAAAACCGTGGTGTATGTTTCTTTCAAACTGAACGCGCGTTAACTTATAATATTATCAGGCGTATTGCAGCACTCAAAATTATGGTACAAGTAGATGTATCACTAATTACTCTACAAAGTACATCTTGCATTTTACGGCGAGTCTAGTTCAAAATGACTAATCGTTCATTTTGTTGCACGTTGAAAAATTGATCTCGAAAAAATTCTTAAACCGATCTTTCCTTCTGGACTATGTATATATATATATATATATATAT